TTTTAATTACACATTTACATAAGAGATTTGATTATATTTATCCTCTATACTAAATCTTATAAATGGACTACGTTTTCTCAGAGAAACATGTAATTGTGAAGAACCATAACTTCCAAATAAGGAATGCTGTACAGGAGCAATTCCTTATATGCAGCCCTGTGCATTTTCCCTTATGGCTCATCATTGACATATTTTTACTGCAAAGAAATATTTTTCTTGGACTACTTTCCAGACCATCTCATGGTGCCACACAGGTGTTTTATCTGCATATCAGCAATGGCAAATAAGGCAGTTCTTCTTTCTGAGGTCACCTAAATCAGTCTTCTCAGACAGACACTCAACCAGGAACTCAACTGAGATGTTCTGAAATGTCCAGCATTGAAGATGGTAGCATATTTGGATGCTGGAATGGAATAATCAACCTTTCTTTAGACCTTAGGTGTATGTGGACTTGAGGATTTTAAAGCCAGGCTCCTTTATAAGTTCAGTTCATGGTAACACCGGGTTTCCCTTAGTACAGTACATTCTTCAAACAAGATCTGAATGGTGTAATAGTCAAGTAAGAGTTACCCCCTACACAGATTGCAAAACCAAATCATGAAGCAGATGGCTGGTGAAAATGTCCTTCCACCTGCAAGTCTTGGGTTGCTTCTCACATTATCTGGTACGGGATGGGATCCTGCAGTTTGCGCTTCAAAAGAAATCCTCCCACAGTGAGAACAGCAGCCACCAGCACCACGGTGGTCACAGCCAGAGGAACATGGGAGCTAGCAGCAGGAGCTGAGCTCTGAGACTCCCCTTTTGCCTGGATGTCAGAGGCCAGCTCTGTGCATAAAAAAGAAAAAGAGAGGCTTACATTTGTTTTCCTGAGCTAGTTAATCTCAAAGGTAACTAGGCAAAGAGAATTTGAATTAAAATGTTGCAATATGGATCTGATCAGAAACCAAATTGCTTTATTTCACATTGTTTCACAAACGATCCTGTGGCCATGCCAAACAAGTGAAGATTATGACAAGAAGTTAAAGAGCAACTAAGAGCTTGTAATGATTACACTCTAAGACCATAAGATGCTGTTTTCTGATAGTGGAAACAGCAGCTACAGGACACTGGGAAACAACATTTCCAAGGGGACCTACAGATTGGTTGCTAATAAATAAGAGACATGCCAATCAGGCACAGCTTTGAAAAATTAATATAAATCCTGCAGGGAGATGAATTACATCTCATCCCTCTTCCCACAGAACTGAATCAATTGCCATTTGACATGTGCAGAACAAATAATGTGTCTAAACTATGATAGAAAGGAAATAGCTTGTAAACATTATAAAACAATTTTATAAAAATTAATTTAAAAAAAATCCCCTTAAGAATTATAGCAGAGTTGTTAATAAACCAGAAAAGGCATATTTCAGAGCTGGATTTCATGTCTGAACTGACACAAAAACATACAGTAATATACAGTCTTATATTATTTAAGTTATTTAAACTTACCAACATTCCTGTCCTCAGCGTGAGCTTCCCAAAGTTGAACAGGCCCAATAACAACATTCACTTTTTCCTGGGAAGAACCTGCATTTCTTCTGAACCTACTAACACAGCCTTGATAGCAGCGGGAAGAGTAGTCATTGTACCTGCACACCACCAGCTCACACTGCAGGTAAACTGATGGGTATCGATTAACAAATGAAAAAGCATTAAATGCAAACCGAGCAACATTGCTGTATGGTGAATAGTAAGAGGAGTAGGTAGGATCCTTAACACACCTGGAAAGATATAAAATTAACAGATTAGCTATTGTGAATAGAAACACTATTATTACACTATCTCTGTGCCATATGTTTCGAGTTTAAATACAAAACCAGAAGGTACAATTATAAGAGAACTCAAAAGGATTTTTAAAAAGTGTGCTTTTAGCAAGAAGAGAAGTTAAGAGGCAAAAATAAGTAAGAGTGGCAGTGATTTCTACCACAATAATGTATTCAGCACAGAAATTTCATAGCTCAACAAAGTTCATGTAAACATGAATAGCTGAAAAATAACTAGTGGTTCTGCTGGTTTCTGTGTTTCAGGTGAGGGTCTGTTTTGCATTTGCAAACAGTTAATCCTGTTTGCAAAGAGGCCCCTGCCGGTTGTTGCAGAAGCAGAAAGGGCCCTTTCTACTCTGGAAGGACAAAACAAATTCTAACACACAACTTCTTTGGGCAAAAAATATGCTCTTAGTCCTTTGATGTTTGTAGAGCACCTTGCTTGAGGAATCTCGACACCTGCAAGAGATCTCCAGATGTTTCACAGAGCAAGTTGCTAGATTAACTTTCATGTCAATGAGTTTCACTTCCTGACAATTACTAGCCTTAGAAGTTACCTAACCTAGATCCTAGTCATTCCGGTTTAATTTAACCACCATGAAAAAAGATCACAATAATTCACCTACAATTGTTACACCAGAATATTTCAAAGTTGTCATTAATTACCTTTGTGTCTCAAAAAAAATTCCATTGTGCTCATTTCCCTAATAAAGGCCCCAAGGATTTTAAGTCCTCTCATTCTTAGTTTATTTTATACTGCAGTGATATCCCAACACACCTGATATTTATAGGTGGATATTATTGATTTTAGATTCAGTAAATACATTTGCTTTTGACACAGTTCCTTGCCACATGAATAAAAATTAACTGGAAAATGATCAGAATCTTTTTGCCCCATCTCCCTGGTGACTGTCCTGCCCACAAAGGTAGACAGTGCTTCTGTGTCCTGCTTAATGAATATGTATTTTTATAGATAAAATAAAAAGAAACCCCAACAAGAGGAAAACCTTCTTAAGATTCACATAAAGTGTAAAAGGGAGGACATTCACCCAGCAGGCAGGAGGCACTGTGTCACTTCATTAGCCTGTCAGAAGCCTGGCTTCCAGCTTAGCGGTAGGTTACTACACTGCTAAGGTTACTGATGTGAACACTCTCCCAGGAGGCAGAGAGTTTCAAATCCCACCAAGCAAAGAAGGGAAATAAAGTAGCATGAGCCTTTCATTGCTGGAACAAAACAGAACACTTCTGTGCTTCTACATCGCTGTCAGTTTTGCATTCCTTAAAAGAGTCCACAACTTTTCCATTTCAAATCAAAAGGCACAATTTGTATCAAATTAAGCAATATATTTTAAGTTTTTAGAATAGCAAGAAAAGGCTAAGGAATTTCCTTTCTTTTTGAACAGACTGTTTTGGATTGTAGTTATGATGCTGCACAAAACTATTTGCAAAACTCTGATTCTGATGGACAGAAACACAGAGCTGTTGACATCCCTACATTTCATGCATCTATTTCAGAAACAAATTCAGACCTCAGTTTCTACACTGCCTTCTTGAGGGAAATCACAGTGCTTGACTGCAACTTCTGAATGGCATTTCTTTGTCATATTATATTTTATTCAGGCTTTGCCAAAAAGGCTTTCTTAGAAGTATATTTGTATTGAGAATTGCAACTAACATACACTAAATCTCCTCTTTCATAAGTGAAGTTCTTTCAGAAATATGCATAGAGATAGTTTTTAAATAATTCTTTAGAAAGTTCTTACCCACTTCTGATCAATTCATAGGTCAGTGTTCTAAAATTGCTAGGATCAGGTGATGCCACACATGTGTCCACAAACACCACCAGATTTGGGTCAGAGCTGTGAAGAGAAGCTTGAAGGAACAAATTCTGATTCAGGTCAACATAGTATGGAAAGTCATGCACTGGCCACAGGAAAGATGAGGAATTGTAGAACGTCAAGTTCACATTGTATCTGCCATACTGGGTTTCACTGACATTAATGATGTCATCAGCAACGTACATTACTTGCACCCAGGTGTTCTGGAGCATTTTGCAGTTGATGTGCAAGTGAAGGTCCTTTTGCCTCTTGATGATGTAACCAGAAGCAGGCACTTTTATCACATTGGAGTAGGTGATCGTTTCATTGTTACCCTATTTGACACATTAGATGAGTACAAAATTACCACATGTAGTCACGTTCGCACCCTGTACTATAAAATTCTGTATGTGTCAGGTCCTAGTATTAGTCAGAAAGAACACGTCATACTCAAAAGTCCCAAGCATCCTGGATGGAATTGTTCACTTAACTCTCTCCTGTACTTTGCTCTCTAGAACATCACTCTGAAATAGATACAGGGATTACCTAAAGCCTGGAAGGATAAGTAGGAATGTTTAACAAACCTTAGCCTCCAGAAACACATGCTTCTTTTCTGTGTTTTGCATACCTGTGGGCTACAACACTCTTTGCGATTCATGACAATTTTCCAAATGTCTATTAAGTTTCCATGCCCAGACTTGGAGACCTTTCCAAAATATGTTGACACCAACCTGTCTACGTGTACCACAGCCGTTGTATGGAATGTTGAATATAACCTCAGTTGATGTAATTGTTGGTCTACAATAAGAGTCGGACAAGCTGATGTTCCATATCGAGTAGCCTTGTGACTGGAGATAGCGTCTGTCTACAATTGCACGCATGTAAGTTGGCAAGCACACAAGGGCTAGGGAAGAAAATATGAATTATTAGTGTTTTCAGGTACTTGATAATGCCTGCATGTTACAGCTTCAACAAATGCAATAGCTGCTACCATTTAGGGGAGAGAATTCATGAGCCAAACCACTTATTTTTACACCCTAGACTTAGATATGAATAAGCAATATTCTCCAACAAACTTCAGCTGACCTTCAGTTACTCTCCTGACAAAAATATGTAGCTTACAATAGCCTTTTGCTGAGACCTTGAGCCTGTATCACCACTCACACAAAAATGCTAAGAAGTGGGGTTTTTTCCTGAATAAGAATCCGAAAGCTATTGTGGAAGGTGTAGAGCTAAACATGCATACTGGCTTGCAGAAACACTACTTGGGTGGGAGGGGATTTTGAAACCATCCCATGACAGTTCACTGAGTCCATCATATGAAAAGCAATGATCCCAGGGAGAGTTTGGCCTTTGGTATAGAGAGATATCTGATGACAGGGACCTACTGGCAAAACACAGCCTCTTGAAAGGCAGTTACAAAGACAACAGAGCCAAATGTGAAGGCCATTGTTTATGCCTGGGGAGGTTGTGAGTGCACATTAGATAAACATTCCCATTGGGACTGCAGGACAGTGCTGGAACAGCTCACCCAGAGAGGTGGCTTTGAAGATTTCATCCTTTGAATGTTTCTAGAGACTCAGCTAGACAAATTCATAATGGACCTGACCTGGTGTGGGCAATAGCTCTGCTTTGAATAGTTGGACTAAGAAGCCTCCAAAGGTCCTTTTTAACCAATATTTCTATCATTCTATGAAAATCTGTCCACAAAGGTAGAAAAAATATATGTGAATAATGATGTGTTAAGAAGAAATATTAATTTCGACTGGCCATCATAGAAAACATCTAAAGGCAATTAATTTGATACTTGAAGATTTTTTTAAAATGAAAAAATAATTATTGTCTGAAAGTCATGCTCAATAACCAGTTATGAAATTCAAGTAGGAATGTCATCTATGTGGGATTTCTTCAACAACATTAACAAACATTTATTTAGAAAATAAAATCGGGGTATAAAAGCTTCTGAGCAAAGAAAACGTTACAAACAGAACGGAAACTTACTGGTGTTCTGGTCTGCTGGAAAGGACTGATACTCAGCATGAAACCCTCTATCAGAATATCTGGAGTCACTGTGAAATCTGACAGTGAGAAAGTTTGAGGATGATGTGTACGTGAGATCAGAACTAGAACAAATTCTTCCAAGCAGAGGAGAAGTATTGGGTGGCCCATCATAGATCTCAATATAGTCATTCTGGCATCCACCTTGCAACCTGAGGAAAAAACATGAATATATAATAAAATGCTTTTGGTAAACTTTGTTTTTTAAGTGCTGAACAAACGATAAACTACGATACTGCACTTAGGCAATTCCCATATAATATTTATAATTCACTTATAAGCATGGGAAAGGTGCTTGGGAATTGTGGTTGTAGTTGAGATTTGGGACCCATTTATTGCCCAAGCAGGAAGTGGTTTACTTACTGAATACTTCCAAATGTGAGCATAATACGGAAATTATTCATTACTTGTATTTGCCACAAACAATCTGCGTTATCTGGATAATTCAAAGGATAAGAAGGACTCTGAAGTGTTCCGGAGGAATTAAAAAGTAAGCCACCACAAATATATTTTCTAGCTGGAAAAAAAAAAAAAAGAAAATAAGATATAAAAGTGATTAATTTAGATTTACTTCTGATCAAATGAAAATACACTTTATGTATCCAAGCCATAGCAACAGGATGTTAAATCTCCAGAGAAACCGGATGGTTGTGCTCTTCTCACTCAGGCCACAAGTGCGATGATATCTTCAGGGAACTCTGACTCTGCCTTCCTATTTAGCCTTTGGTAGGCATAAGGCAAACATATGTATGAGAGAAAGCAAGAGGTGCTGGCCCAAATAACATAAAATCCAGAGAAGAAAGAAAAGATTTCCCACAAAATCAACACGGTCAGAAATCCACACCCAGTGACAGAATCAGGCAGACAGAGGAGCAGTATGCAGGATTTACAGAGTTAGTACCAATGATGATTTTTTCTAAAAGTATTACAATGTGCAAATGATACAACTCCAACCTATAAACTAGTAAGTAACACACCTCCAAAGTAACGCATCAGAAGGATGAAAAAAGCAGACTAACCAGGAGTAGTCGATGTTGGAGTGGGAACAGTGGTCGTGGCTGTAGCATCTGTTAGAGGAGGAAGAGAAAGAAGCAAGTGAGGACCTTGTGGATGAAGGAGCACGGCCAGGTTTTCTCCCAGCACTGGGGATGCTGGTGCCCCCCTGTCACGTGGGCGACGGAGAGCCTGGGGGTCTCAGCAGGGTGCTCTGCCATGGTGGGAGCAACAGAAAGCACAATCTTTGAACACGCCTCCAACACGTACCGAATTGTGGCCAACAAGGGCCACTTTTGGAAGGCAGACTGGTGCTTAGGAAGGAAAAGCAATGGTACCTGAGCACACAACACCAGCATCTTCACTGTGGCCACAGTTGTGGACGCCCCAGCCACTGTGCCTGCACTGAAAGAGGGAGGACTCGCTGCCTGTGCAGTGCACATCGTCCAGGTAGATATTGCCAGTGCCTTGTCCAAAGTAGGCACTTGATGGTGCAGAAACAGCAAAGCCGCATCCCAGCTGCCTGCACACGACCTCGGCATCGTTCAGGTCCCAGCCGTCATCACAGACGGTGCCCCGGCCCCCGTAGTGGTAAATCTCTACGCGCCCCTCGCACCGGTTCCTGCCGTTCACCAGGCTCAGGGAGGCACCTGGGGAAGGAGGAGACAGGGGAAACATGGGAAAACCCTCTAGCACGCAGGCACCTTCTCTCGCCGGGGCATTGGCAGTGCTCCACGACTTTCAGGCCACCAGGACTGCCACCCTCGGCTTAATCAGGCTGTGTGTTGCCGTGGCTCTGCTCCCCCATGGAGAAGACCAAACGCCACCCCGTTTAGGCACGACCTGGTACCGCAAAAGCAGTGGCCAGAGAAACCATGACAACTTCAGACCCACCTGGAGGAACGGATGCCGTGAAGCTGGCTGGGGTCGTGGTTGTAGCATCTGTTAGGGGAGGAAGAGAAAGAAGCAAGTGAGGACCTTGTGGATGAAGGAGCACGGCCAGGTTTTCTCCCAGCACTGGGGATGCTGGTGCCCCCCTGTCACGTGGGCGACGGAGAGCCTGGGGGTCTCAGCAGGGTGCTCTGCCATGGTGGGAGCAACAGAAAGCACAATCTTTGAACACGCCTCCAACACGTACCGAATTGTGGCCAACAAGGGCCACTTTTGGAAGGCAGACTGGTGCTTAGGAAGGAAAAGCAATGGTACCTGAGCACACAACACCAGCATCTTCACTGTGGCCACAGTTGTGGACGCCCCAGCCACTGTGCCTGCACTGAAAGAGGGAGGACTCGCTGCCTGTGCAGTGCACATCGTCCAGGTAGATATTGCCAGTGCCTTGTCCAAAGTAGGCACTTGATGGTGCAGAA